AGAAAAGTGTAAATGGCTTTTGCGTAGGCACTGAAAACATTTAAATCACAAACTTTTTGACATACATATTTCATACAAATATACTTTGCATCGTCAAAATGCAATGAGTCATGTTTGCACGTCTAAACTGAGCTTTTTTTCTTCAAGAATTTATCTTTTATTCCATCTGTTTACCAACATGATGAGGTACATATACTTCAACAGTATCAGTTTGCTGTCTCCGTTTATAGCACGTTTATATACCAAATCTTTACCCGGGATCATGGTGCAATACTTGGGCCATGCCCGGCAAATGTTGTACTTAAACAAGTAAAAGAACATTGAGTTCCGCCGGGCCGAACTTTTAATACCCTCCACCATTGGGCAAAGAAAATATTTTTATATAAAAGTATCTGAATTCAAACGTGTTCCACTTTAAACTACAAATACCAGTAAGACCATTTGGATAATGCTGTTGAAGTTTTCAAAAAAAAAAAAAAAAAAAAAAAAAAACATAAAGTGGGTGAGACCGTTTCATGTTGGTTATACCAAAACGGGAACTTATATAGACAATATTATACTACAAGGTCTGTTATCTATTGCGAGTCTTAAATACCAAATTAGAAATAATTTCGCGAATAAATGTGACAAAAACCGTTTAAAATAATCGGTAGGTATCGTTACATAGGGGCTATACGAAAACGTAGCCATATACATATACAATTTTCCAACATCGGACTTAGAACGCCTTATGATCTATAAATGTCAATTTTTGGACATATCCAAATGTACCAAACTGTGAACCGATATATCTCATCCTAGGCACAATACGAACCATTGTGCCAAATTTTAAAGCTGTACGTTAAATAATGTGGGTTGTATCGTGATTTTAACAGACAGACAGACATCGTTAAATCGATTTAGAATTGTATGCTGGTTATGAATATATACAGGGTGAGATGAAAAAACTGCAACCAAATTCAGACTGCTGTCATTTCTAAGCCACTCGTTCGAAAGCTGTTAAAATTATTCCAATGATAGCTCATTATATTGTTTACAAGCGTACAAAAGCATTTAGATGAGAATTTTCCAGAAAAAAGGTTATTCGTGATGGAATTCAAGTGTGATTTCTTTATATTTTGACTGGAAAACCACAAATGGCTATCGTTAGAGAACATTGAAAGCCATTGAAATTCCCAAAAGTGCAAGAACTTACACCGCAACAAAAGAAAATAGACTCAAAGAGCTAAAGAGTTGCTTTGCTTGGCCGAAAGTGGTGAATTGCCGAATTTGTAAACAAACAAAATGTTCGTGTTTACTTGCCAAAGAGGTCAGCTGAAAATGTGCATCTTAGGTTGGCCACCAGAACTCAAGGTGTGGGCCGCCATAACAGCCGATGGTCGCTCTCCGCTCGTATTAATTGACCTTGGCATCAGAATAAATGGTAAATATTATCGCGAAAATCCCGGATACCAATCCGTTGGACTATTGTGTCTGGAGTATTTGGAAAGCAAGGTTGGCACTAAAAAATGCCAGAGTGTCGATCACCTCAAGCAAGCGCTTCGCCGGGAATGGACCAAAATACAGCAGAGCAACATTCGGGCAACGTGTGGTGGTTTCATTGACCGTTTGAAGGCCATAATTCGTGCCAAAGGTGACCAATTCGAACAAATCTAAGCTTATTTTGAAATTTTATGCAATTTCTGACATTTTTGCCTTCATTCAATAAAATTTAAAAAAAAAAATGTAAAAATGATGTCGTTTGACTTTGTTGCAGTTTTTTTATCTCCCCTTATTTTTGCAGCATTTTTGGTATTGAAAATGGGCCATGTAGGTCCACGTTTTGGTATAGCCCCCATATAACGGTACCTCCCGATATTTGGTATTGTGATTATTTTAGCGACATTGTTCACCGGATTTGTTTCAAATTTGGTATTTTAAGTTTGTAATGGATACTGAAAATTGTCTGTGCAGGTCTACGTCTTCGTACAGCCCCCATATAACGGTAGCTCCCGATATTCGGTATTTTGCTACATACACCGATTTTTTGAATATTGTAATGGCTTATGATGTCGTATATGTCGTCGTATAGACCCTAATATAAGGTCTATATTCGATATTTTTAAGATTTTAACAGAATTTTTTTCTTTGAAAATTACCAAATTTGTTCAAATTTGTTTGGTTAGGCCCGGCCGAACTTACAGATTTTTTCTTGTTCTATATGTAATTGACAGTAATAATCATTAAAGACCCAACAAAGTATTTACATTCTTACTACGCTCAAAATTCTTACACAATTTTATGTGTCCGCCTGCGGTAATCACACTAATCATTGAGGGGATCGACTTAAATGACTATTAGTTGGGTAATATGCATCTTATGTCTGAATTTTTCAAATTTAACCACATTTATTAATAAAAATCATTTATTTTGGGAGGACAAATTATTGTTGAATTAAATGTTCAAATGTAGCAGCGTTAATTGTTACGAAACATGTATTTTTAAACTAAAAAAATTGAAACTAACAAAATATTTCTCTCTGTTTATAAGAGGCAAATAAATACTTGACTTTTTATACCCTACACCACATGATGGTAAGGGTATTATGTCTTTGTGCATTTGTTTGGAACAGGGAGAAAGAAGTGAGATAGACCCATAGTTGCACAGCTCTGAAATAAGTGTTTCAAATATTGTCAAGATCGGTTCAGATTTGGATATTGCTCCCATACATATCTTTATCCGATTTCAGATTTATATCTTTATCCGATTTCAAATGGCAAATATCAGCCTAAATGAGCTGAGTTTTGACAAAACCGACTGTACCCATCCTAGAAACAAGTATTTCAAATTTGGTGAAAATCGGTTCAGATATAGCTATAGCTCCCAAATATATGTTTCATCCGATTTGATATTTGATACCGGACATCAGATACAGCTCGAAAATACCTCTGCAAACTTTATTAAGATCGGCTAAAAATTAGATATAGCTTCGATACACGTCTTCCCCCGATTTTAAGGTTATTTCCACCATATATGTAATATCAGCCCAGATTGAATAGATTTTTTTATATTTAATTGAATTTTACAATTTGCTGAAGCTATTATATTTTTATACCCTACAAATTTAGAATGGAGGTGGGACTGGGGTCAGAATAGAACCCTATTTCTTTTGGAGATGATCGCCAAATGTTTAGGGGTTGAAATGGACCAAATACTGAAAAAATGTCGGATTTTGCGGTAGCTATACAGGTCGCAATTATAGACCAATCGACGCGGAATTTCGCATGTAGGTAGAATTTAGGGCGGGGAAGAAGCCTACCAATTCGGGTGGTCATCGGATAACATTTAGCGGGTAAAATAGACCATATCATTTGTGTTGAAAAAATTCAAAATTTTTCGTTAAACCGCGAATATTTTAAATCCCGGCGAAATCACAAAGCCATGACAAGGTTACTTCTGATCTTTACACTGATGTTAACATCTAACAAAACGGATATATAGCAAAATATGTGCGATATATATGTTTATCAAAGAAGATATGCTTGAAAAATCTCTTATATGTCTAGAACGGCTGAACTGATTTCGAAAGTTCTCATTAGTTTAGAATGGCCTCTTGGCAGGAAAGAAAAAGCGTCTAAAAAATCTCATAAAAATATCTCTCTAAAGATGAAAATATTGATTTTGTAAAATTTTCTAATATTTTTTCAATTTTGTCATATTTTTGGCATATTTTCATTTTGAATCAAACATTTGGTAATATTTCTACAGCTAAGAAAACTAAGTAGTTAGGATATCAGGATATCATATGCAGATCGCATTTATGGCCCGATCCCTACGAAATTTTGCATGGGGATAAGATGAGGGTCAGAATAGAAGCCTACTCTTTTTGGAGATGATCGCCATATATTTAGGGGTTGAAATGGACCGATCCTCACGCACATTTGAATGGGGGTTACCGGACATTACAAAAGCCAAGCAGTTTTGGATGGCCATCCAAAATATTCAATGTGTGAAATAGTTTGCCAAATTTTGTAGACAAAATACGAAAATGTCGATTCCAGTGACTTTTTGGAGAATTCACAAATACAGGAAAGACGCACTTCTGACTATTTCGTTAACGCTGATTTCGTTGAAGATTATAGTCAAATGTCTGTTTCTCATTTTTTTGGGAAATATTGGTTCCAGATCTAGGAAGACCATTTACGTGCAACATCTACCAATAAATTGGAAATGAGCAAATTAGTTTAAGTTGCTATTATTCGAAAATTAGAGAACGAAACCTGATGGTTTTCTTTTATTATTTGTAACAATATCTTGTGGAATTCTTTCGAGTATCTCGCCTATATAAACTGTATCGTTTATTGTAGTGTTGTAGGGTATTCAACGGTCGGTCCCGCTCGACTGTAGCCTTTGATTACTTGTTTATATTATCCTCACTGAAGTCGGATTATGCATCATACAACAATGTTATTAGGATCACATTAATACCCAATATAAACTTTTTTGCTATGGGAACTCTTCTAAATACGCATAGTTGTGTAGGGTATCGTATAGTCGTCCCCGCCCGACTTTTGACCTTTCCTTACTGGTTTTTATTTAAAGTATATCATCAATCAAAAAATAATTTTGACCTTTTGTGCCTCGGGCTGATTTAAATAAACGTCAATTCCGGCTCAATTTCAATTACTTTCCCACATTTTTCAAACTATTTGGGACTTTTGGATCAGAGCTCAAAGTTTGTTGCAAACAAACTTGAGCTGCTTGGTAATTAGGTAATTAATGGCAAAGGTATACTCGTGTATCACCTTAGCTTCGAACCGCTCCTGCAAAAATGCACGTGCATTATTGTCTTACCAAACCGGTTTTTCTTTGTAGATCTATTAAATAAAAGCTATTGCTTTGAGTAGTTCTTTTTATGGAACCACCTTAAGATATAAATCGTTATTATTGAATTTTATAAGCATGAACACATCCGCACTGCACTCTTAAATTTTTATTAAAATACAAAAACAATAGAAATCCCATTGTAATAGTTTAATTGTGCGTGTCGCTTCGATCATCGCGGACGTGTGCTCCTCATTGGCTCAGATTGGCGGAAAAATGTCATATTGGACTATTTTTGTGGTTTTGTGTGTTTGGTTTTATTGGTTGTGGACCCGACGAAGATACTATGCATTAATTTTTAAAATATCGGGACCCCTAGGATATCCGCTGTTGGGGAAGACGTTGGATTTAATTGACAAAAATAAAGGTTTGTACTTTTCGTTAGTGTGTCCAATGGAATATACGGGGACGATGTACGGGCCGGATCCCAAGAGAATTTTCAAAAAAGAATGAACAATTTTATATAGTTCAAATGAAAACAAAGACATTCGTGGTGAAAAGAACTTAAAAAAAAAAAATAAAATAATAATAAATAAAAATAATAAAGTAAATAAATATCGTTACAAATATATATCTGTAGAGTGCCGAAAATATTTATTTATGAACCATTTATTTACTGGATATTGGAAACTGTGTTGGAAACATGGAAAATTATGAGTGATAGGTAGTGGAATTATTATATCTGAACGGGAATTGTGTTAACGTGTGTGCTACTCCGAAACGTTGACATCGATTGAAATTTTTCTGCGAAGAGGTTTTCTAGCCCCTTAGAAACCAAGATGTTTAATAAGGGTCAAATCAATTGAAAATGTGGTCGAATACCGATAACTGAAATCAGGGGATACCTATATATGAGGGTTATACCAAAATGTGGGCCTATATTAATAATTTTTTGCAAGGATTGGTTCTTTTTACTAAGAACTCAAATTATCATAATATGCCGAAATTAGTATAAAAGATATGATCAAAATTTAAAATATAATTAATATCTGGGTAAGCCTTTATATGAGGAGGTTATACAATAAAGTGGACCGACATGACCCATATTGAATATAAACAATTCTACTTGTAATCTATAGGCATGTACAGTGTAGTGTTGCACAGTGTTATTAATCGATTCTGTCGTAATAGCGAAATATTAAAAGCGCGCTATGATATGTTATAGAATTTAAAAAGTATAAAAGCAGCTAAGTTTGCCCATACCGAAATTTTAATACCCTCCATTATTTTAACGGATCTTGAAATTTTTCAAAAAAAAAAAAAAAAAAAAAAATGCGTCGAAAAATACCACCCTTATAGGGGGGCTATACGAAAACGTGGACCTGAATAAATAAGTTTTTTTGTTCTTAAGTTGTAGTACCAATTCCGAACTCCAAATACGAAATTTGAAAAAAAAAACAAGTTAAAAAGCAGTAAGTTCGGCCGTGCCGAACTTTGAATACCCTCCACCATCTGGAACGAATTTGGAAATAAAATCCTTAAAAAATTCTGGTAAAATTTAAAAAATTCCGAATATAGCCGTTATATTGGTGTCTATACGACGTGAAGCTACATGGGCATTGTTTGTCATAAGTCATTACCATATTCAAATTCGAAACTTGAAATAAACGGTGAACAATGTAGCTAAAATCATCAAAATAAAGTATATAGGGAGGTGCCGTTATATCGGAGCTATACGAAGACCTGGACCTGCATAGACAATTTTCTGTCACAGGCTGTATCATCCATTACGAACTTCAAATACGACATCTCAAAACGGAGTCAAATCGTCTTAGAATTTTACGCTGATCAAGAATATATTTGTTTTGTTAGGCTTAAAATTATTATTTCGATGAGTTATAAATGGAATGACAAACTTAACATACCATCCATACTATGTATGGTGGAGGGTATAAAAATAATGTTTGGTATGGAAATTAACATCAATACAAATATATTGAAATGTAAAAAGCCTCTTATTCGCGTATTTACTTAAATCTGTTTAGGCGCATGTATTTTCGTCCACTATCCGACGTGGTGCAGCCAGTTACATCTAAGTATGCATAAGACCTTAAAATGGTCAAAAATTGCACAACTGGCACCTGTTTAAAACTGGCGCATCCGATTTATGTAATTCTCTAAAACAAATAAATACGTCAATTAATTCATATTTTAAAATAATTGGCCAGGAACCAATTTTCCGACTTTGTACTCCAATTACTTGGGAAGCTGTGCAAAGCACACGCGTGCTAAAATCATATAATTAGTTCATTAGCTTGTTGGCTTCGACACAACATAATAAATAATAAAATTAATTTTAATAATCTCGGTTGTGTACATTAACACTAACACAGCATTCGAGTAAATTATTTTAAATGGTCCATATTATGGGCAAACTAAATTAATATTTATTGGAATATTGCGAACGGTCGTGACGTATGGTTTTGTGAAACTCAGTTTCAACGATTGGACAGCCCATAAGGGGAAAACAAACTGCCAATGTAAAACAAATTTGGTTCAAAACTAAGACTTAAATTCTCGAAACACCTTAAATTTAGCGGCACTGTTTTACGTGGGGAGTCACGAAAACATGGGCTTTTATAGCCCATTTTAATTCTACGTAGCTAAAATATATCAGGGTAAACATTTATAAACCAAATTCATTAAATTCGGAATCTATAGTAGTTTCTAAATCGAAGGAAGGACAGACGGATATACTTATCAAGATGTAGTGGACTACTTCGGTCCAACTGTATCTGGTACAACGCTCACAATTAAACATTTTCTAAAAATTATCAAATATCTAATATAAAGTACACGAAGTTGTTGATATAGACCAAATCTGGCACCTTGTAATCCCTTGAATAATCATAACGCATGTCAATACACATGTAAACAAACAAACATTGGCTGAGGGTATACATCTGTCGGCAAACCGACTGATATTTTTTAACTAGTTTAATTTCAAATACTTTTCATTTTTTCAAATTCATTCCACAACTTTTTAGGGCTTGGCATATTTTTTGTCAAATTAAAAAGAACCGCCTGATGTTATTGCGTTGATGGAAATCTATTCAATCCAGATTTTTTCCATAGGAATGTGTCTTTTACATAAATACACCTAAAAATCTTATTAAGTCAGTAAAGTAATATGAAAATATTCGTTATTCTTCTATGCATAATGCTCTCGCGATCAATTTATTTTTATTTGTTTTTACCATAAACGGTATCATAATTTTTGCCACAAAACACAAGTTGTACGTACATTACGAAGGAGAATTTTTTTTATTTTTATACCCTACACCACATAGTGGTAATGCTATATTCTCATTGCAAATTCAATAACGTTGTCCGCTCTTAGAATTATGTACCCGAATTAGCCTGTCCATACGGCACGATTCGTAATTCAAAGTAACATAATTCTTATTTCCAATTTTTATAACCTCCACCATACTATGGAGGGTATATTAACTTTGTCATTCCGTTTGTAACTCCTCGAAATACTCATGTCAGACCCAACAAAGTATATATATTCTTTATCAGCGTAAAATTCTAAGTCGATTTAACGATGTCCGTCTGTCTGTCTGTCCGTCTGTCTGTTGTAATCACACTATCTTTTGAACGACTTGAGATAGAAGGCTAAAATTTTGCACACATGTTTATTTTTCCAGTAGACAGGTTAAGTTCGTAAATGGGCCATGTAGGTCCACGTTTTCATATAGCCCCCATTTTTGATGATTTTGATAGCCGATATTTTGATGATTTTAGCGACATTATTCAACGGAATTGTTTCAAATTTTGTATTTGAAGTTCGTAATAGATACTACAGTATAAAACGGAAAATGGGCCATGCGGGTCCACTTTTTTGTATAGCCCCCATATAACGGTACCTCCCGAAATTCGGTATTCTGATGATTTTAGCGCCATGTTTTGCCAGAATTGTTTCAAATTTGGTATTTGAAGTTCGTAATGGATACTACAGCCTATAACAAAAAATTGTCTGTGCAGGTCCACGTTTTACAACTCCCATGGTTCCTCCCTATATTCGAAAATTTGATGATTTTAGCTACATTATAAACAGATTTTTTTTCAAGTTTCTCATTTGAATATTGTAATAGCTTGTGACAAAAGTTGCCTATGCAGGTCCACGTCGTCGTACGGACCCTTATATACGGCTACATTAGGTATTTTTAAGATTTTAATAGAATTTTCAACGGAAATTTGTACCAAATGGTGAAGGGGATTCAAAGTTCGGCCCGGCCTAACTTGTTTATTTTTTTTTTTTTATTTTAACGAAAATATATATATTTTCATTCATTCACTTGTATTATGGTAAATTCGACCGAATTCAGTCTAGAAGCAAGTACACAAACTTTGGTGAAAATCGGTTCAGATATAGCTATAGCTCCCATATATATGTTTCATCCGATTTGGGGTTTTAAGTCCCTCACATGCATAATATGCACTCTACAACAATAATCTTTAGTACTAGGTATCAGATACAGCTCAGAAATAAGCGCCCAAAATTTTTGTCAAGATCGGTTCAGATTTAGATATAGCTCTCATATATATCTTTTTTCGATTCCAGGCTTATTGCGCACCAAATGTCTAATATTACTCCAAATGGACTTAAAATTTTGGTGAAAATGGGTACAGATATAGACATAGCTCCCATACATATGTTTCATCCTCACATGCGTAATATGCACTCGACAACAAGGATATTTGATACCGGACATCAGATACAGCTCGAAAATACCTCTGCCAAATTTTATCTAGTTCGGATATAGCTCTCATATATATCTCTATCCGAAATATTCAAAACGGGCAAAACTTCGACACTCATCAATCACTTTTTTTATACCCTCCACCTTGGAAAGGAGGGTATATTAACTTTGTCATTCCGTTTGTAACATCCTTAAATATTCGTCTTAGACCTCATAAAGTATATATATTCATAATCAGCATAAAATTCTAAGTCGATTTAACGATGTCCGTCTGTCTGTCCGTCTGTCTGTCTGTCTGTCTGTCTGTTGAAATCACGATACAGCCCACATTATTTGACGTAGAGCTCCAAAATTTAGCAGAGCTATTTGCATTGTGTCTAGGTTGGTATTGAAAATGAGATATATCGGTCCACGTTCTGGTATAGTCCCCATATAACGGTACCTCCCGATATTCGGTATTTTGATGATTTATGCCACGTTTTTTCACGGATTTGTCTTAAAATTGGTATTTGTAGGTCATAGCAGGTCCCTGAGCGTGTGGCAAAACATTGCATGTATGGGTCCAAAATTTGGTATAGCCCCCATATAACGGTACCTCCAGATATTCGGTAATTTGATGATTTTTGCAACATTTTTTCACGGATTTGTCTGAAAATCGGTATTTGTTGGTCATAATGGGTTCCAGCTCCGGTGGCGAAACATTGCATGTATGGGTCCATGATTTGGTATAGCCCTCATATAACGGTACCTCCCGATATTCGGTATTTTGATGGTTTTTGCCACATTTTTTCACTGATTTGCCTAAAAATTGGTATTTGTGGGTCATAATGGGTCCTAGTTCGTGTGGCGAAACATTGTAATTATAGGTCCACGTTTTGGTATAGCCCCCATATAACGGTACCTCCAGATATTCGGTAATTTGATGATTTTTGCAACATTTTTTCACGGATTTGTCTGAAAATCGGTATTTGTTGGTCATAATGGGTTCCAGCTCCGGTGGCGAAACATTGCATGCATGGGTCCATTATTTGATATAGCCCCCATATAAAGGTACCTCCCGATATTCGGTATTTTGATGGTTTTTGCCACATTTTTTCACTGATTTGTCTAAAAATTGGTATTTGTGGGCCATAATGGGTCCTAGTTCGTGTGGCGAAACATTGTAATTATAGGTCCACGTTTTGGTGTAGCCCCCATATTACGGTACCTCCCCATAATCGGCATTTTAATGGTTTTTGCCACATTTCTTCTAATGTTTATTTTACCCTAAGGTGGAGGGTATTAAAAGTTTGGCCCGGTCGAACTTAATGTTTTTTTACTTGTTTGTTTTTGATTTATGACGCCCTTTGAGTAATGCTTGTTTTTCCCTCTTCAGATCCCTTAAGTGTGATACATACGCACAGCGAGAAATATGGCCCATTGATGTACACTTGGTTGGTCACCTATCCAGTTTTGCTTGTCACCGACCCTGATATTATTCGAGATGTTTTCACATCGCCGCATTGCACGAATAAAAGTGTACTTTACAAAGCGGTCACCAATGGCGTTGGAAGAGGCCTATTCTCTTCAGATGGTAACTGCAAAAGCAATTGCATTTCCGACATATTATTACATATTAGTCTCAATCAATTTAAGATCCGGAATGGGGCGTTCACAGGAAACATTTGAATCCTGCATTTGGACACAAAATACTACTGAGTTTCATGCCTATTTTCAATCAGGAGGTGAACAAAGTTTTGAAGCTGTTCAAGGAAATGGGCGAATGTTCGGATGTGGTCGCATTGCTACAAGATTTAACATTGAAAATCGCCATAAGTGAGTTACATATATCCATTTCAATACATTTTTGGGTTTTTAAAAATTGTTCAACCCACAGGAACAACGATGGGAGTTAATGCAGATCAAGAGTATGGCAATGGACACAACGGTAATTTAATAAAAAGCTATCAGTGGTAAGAGAGAGAGAGAGAACTGTCATTTATTCATTTCAAATTGATTTGAGCGTGATTTCTTTCTTAACATTTAGTGTTGTAGAAAACATGACCGATATTCTGTTTGCGCCATGGCTGACCAACAATCTAATTCGGAGGGTGTTGGGAGTTTACGAACCGTTCAACTCATGCAAAGCAGAAAACCGCAACTTTATTCGAAAGGTGAGTAGGAATAGAAATTGCTTCGCCACGCGAACCTGATGAGAGATGCCGCAATCTGTAATTATAATTTAATTGCATTGTATAACTGGCTAGTTAATCGTTTCAGTACGTGATCAGGTGGATACAAAGTATTTAGATTTTCATTTCAATGAGACAACAAAATATTTAACGGATGAAAAAAGTCCAAAAATATTAGTTGATTGTATCAACAAAAGATTGTTGTCATAAATGTTTAGCTTCGATCGACTCATATTTTTTTTTTTGTTATCTTTCTTTGCATGGAGGTGAAATTAAGATTAGAAAAGAACCCTATTGTTTTTGGAGATGCTCGCAAAGTATTTAGCGGGTAAAGTAGTCCATAAGTTAAATGTAAAAAATACGAGAATTTCCACTACCGAATTTTTTAAACCATGCGACGTCACAATTAAATTAAAATATCACTTCTGACTAAGACATTGGATATATAACGAAATATATAGAATGTCATATATCACTTATTTTTACAATTCTGGCCTTTTGCCAGAAAAGGATAAAATCGAAGAAAATTGTGAATATTTATACAATACACCACATAGTGGTAAGGCTATTATGTCTTTGTTCATTTGTTTGTAACATGAAAATGGAGAAGAGATAGACCCATAGTTACTTTGGGGATCCCCATAGAATCACTTTTTGAGTCGATTTTATCCCAAAGACAAAATATTTTGCCTCAAATGCGCAATGTCAGTCGGAATCAGATGGATTTTAGAATATGGCCATGTTTTGGCCTGAAACAGAACTCAAGCACCGGCCATGGTGTTGGCGTGGGCCGCCATAACAACCGATGATCGCTCTCTGCTTGTATTAATCGACCGTGGCATCAGAATAAATACCGAATTTTATCGCGAAAATATCGTGGAGGGTGTATTAAAGTCTTGGGCACTCAAATATTTTGACCGCAGACTCAGCATCACCGAACTCAGCACGCACTACCCAAGAATGGTTACAAAATGAGGTTCCTCGCTTCATTTACAGCGCATAATGGTCACCAAAATTTCTGGATACCAATCCGTGTTGTGTCTGCTGTATTTTGGAAAGCAAGGTTGGCACTAAAAAACACCAGTGTCGATCCCCTGGGTCAAGCAAGCGCTTCGCCGGGAATGGGCCAAAGTACCGGAGAGCAACATTCGGGGAACGTGTGACGGTTTTATTGGCCGTAATTCGTTATTCTAAAATTTGATGCTATTTCCGACATTTTTTGCTTTCATTCAATAAAATTAAAAAAAAAATGTGAATAGGGTAAGTGTACCAGTAGTCGGCACTTTTAGAATTTTCAATGTTTCAATCTTTCAACATTTTGAGTGAAATCTTTCAATTGCAGAAAAATAAAGTTGTTCAGATCCCAAATTTTGTTTAGTTTTCGAAATAATAAACAACAATTGAATTTGTTTTTATTAAATTGGCAAAATTTGCAATTTTACTCAAATAGTAGTTTTTTGCCAGTAGTCGGCACCATTTTCCAATGCTCGGCATGTCTATTTGCCAGTAGTCGGCATATAGTATTTCAGTAAAAAAAAGTATAATTTTGTATTTTTTTTTATTTCTAATAGTATAAAACAATGCTATATTACTAATTCACAGTTCAATTAATTAATTTCGTTTTTAAATAGTGTTTTATTATACCCTACAACACTATGTGTTGGGGGTATTATAAGTTTGATTGGCCCAAAAATTATGTAACACCTCGAAATATTGGTTTCCCATATAGGAAAGTATATATGGATCTTCCTAGCTCGCCGAGCTGAGTCGATCTAGCTATGTATGTCCGTCCGTCTGTCCCTCTGTCCATGTTAATTTGTAATCACGCTACAGGTCGCAATTATGGCCCGATCCTTACGAAATTTTGCACGAAGGTGGGGTTAGGGTCAGAATAGAAGCCTATTTCTTTTGGAGATGATCGCCAAATGTTTAGGGGTTGAAATGAAAAAATAAAAATACTGAAAAAATATCGGATTTTGCAGTAGCTATACAGGTCGCAATTATAGACCAATCGACGCGGAATTTCGCATGTAGCTAGAGTTTAGGGCGGGGATGAAGCCTACCAATTTGGGTGGTCATCGGATAATATTTAGCGGGTAAAATAGACCATATCTTTTGTGTTGAAAAAATTCAAAATTTTTCATTAAACCGCGAATATTTTAAATCCCGGCGAAATCACAAAGCCATGACAAGGTTACTTTTGATCCTTACATTGATGTTAACATCCAACAAAACGGATATATAGCAAAATATGTGCGATATATATGTTTATCAAAGAAGATATGCTTGAAAAATCTCTTATATGTCGAGAACGGCTGAACTGATTTCGACAGTTCTCATTAATTCAGAATGGCCTCTTGGCAGGAAAGAAAAAACGTCTAAAAAAATCGCATAAAAATATCTCTCTAAAGATGAAAATATTGATTTTCTAAAATTTTCTCATATATTTTCAATTTTGTCATATTTTTGGCATATTTTCATTTTGAATTAAACATTTGGTAATATTTCTACAGCTAACAAAACTAAGTAGTTAGGATATCAGGATATCATATACAGATCGCATTTATGGCCCGATCCTTACGAATTTTTGCATGGAGATAAGATGAGGGTCAGAATAGAAGCCTACTCTTTTTGGAGATGATCGCCATATATTTAGGGGTTGAAATAGACCAAAAAACTACAAAACTGTCAGCATGACATAATTATCGCCCGATCCTCACGCACATTTGAATGGGGGTCACCGAACATTACAAAAGCCATCCAAAATATTCAATGTGTGAAATAGTTTGCCAACTTTTGTAGACAAAATACGAAAATGTCCATTCCAGTGACATTTTGGAGAATTCACAATTACAGGAAAGACGCACTTCTGACTATTTCGTATTTCTCATATAGAGGCGTTTCAGTCAAAAACCAATAATAAATGTTAATCTTTTGCCACTTCTAAGAGATTATAGGTCTTTGGGAAATATTGGTTTCACATTTAGGAAGACCATTTACATGAAGCATCTGCCAATAAATTGGAAATGAGCAAATTAGTTTAAGTTGCTATTATTCGAAAATTAGAGAACGGAACCTGAAGGTTTTCTTTTATTATTTGTCACAATATCTTGTGGAATTCTTTCGAGTATCTCGCCTATATAAACTGTATCGTTTATTATAGTGTTGTAGGGTATTCAACGGTCGGCACCGCTCGACTGTAGTCTTTGCTTACTTGTTTAATTATAATTCTAATCCAAATGTAGGTAGAAAATCAAGAATAGTATGGTTACCTTCAGTAACGTATGGATTTTCAATTAAAATAAAAATGAGATTAAATAAAAAAGAAAAAAGTGCCTTTCTTATATTTGGAATTTGTGAATTGATCTCTTTTCTTTCTTCAAAAATGCCACCGCTATCTAAAACGTCAAATAGCTAATTAAAAAAAACCTACTAAATTTAGAAATGTTGGTCAAAAAGTACAAATAAAAACAACTGCCGACACAAAACATTTTTTTTATTTGTGTAGTTTTTGGATAATTTTTTAATAGTTTTCTCAAGTTTTGGTGAAATGGGTCAAAAATTATATTTTTCCAGTAATCGGCACCACCTGCCGACTACTGGCAAATCTCTTTTTTTCTGTTCCTAATGTCGGCATTAAATAATATAACAGAAAAATGCTTGATTTGTAAATTTTTTAAGTTATAAAATGATCCTTGGACTGTTATTTACTTTAATAAAATATTTCTGATTCCAAAAGTATTAAATTTAATTTACTTAAATCGATTATTAAGTTGACACCACCACTATTTTTTTTTCTTTACAAACAAGCACTATCGCATGCGTTGGAAGACACCCACTGACGAAAACAGTTATTCTCTCGTAATAAATGATCGGATCTCATTGTTTTTTTTTTTAAGGAAGAGGGCAGAGAACACTGTTGACGTTTTTTTGCAATTATTTGGTCAATTCTATTCTTACTTATTTAAGTTTAAATTTCAAAACTGCCGACTACTGGGACCTAAGGCGCACTTACCCTAATATGACGTTTGACTTTGTTGCATTACCACAACCAAATGTTCGGTTCAGATTTGGATATAGCTCCCATGTAGATCTTTTTTTCCATTTCACGCTCATAGTGCACAAAATGGTTAATATCAAACCGATTTCAATATAATTTGGCAGATTTATTTTTGTTCCAAATTCCGCTACACCTTCCACATTTGGAGACTGTATCTGCAATCGATCATTAGATATGTGCATATAAAATCTAAATTTTTTTGACGTACCTTCGACAAACAAACAATCAAAAGCACAAATATTTTCCTCTTTAATAGATATAAATGGAAAAAATCTGTGGAATATGAAAAACTCTATCCAAATTCGACTGTTATTACCTATATGGTGAACAATAACCGTAAAATCGGATGAAGATGTATATCGAAGATAAATAAAAATCTAAACCGATCTCAATAAAATTTGACAGAGGTATTTTCGAGCTGCATCGATGTCCGGTATCAAATATTATTGTTGTGGAGTGCATATTACGCTTGTGAGGGGTTTAAACCCCAAATCGGATAAAACATATGCATGGCAGCTAAGAATGAATTCCGCCGGAAGTGCAATTAAATTGATACATTAGAATTGATACAATAAAACTGAAATCGGGTAAAGATGTATATGGGAGCTTTATCCAAATCTGAACCGATCTTGACAAAATTTGAAACACTTATGTCAGAGCTGTGTCTAATATCTTTTACCAAAGATCATTGTTGCATAGTGCATATGACGCTTGAGAGGGACTTAAGCCCCAAATTGGATAAAACACATATATATGTGAGCTTTAGCTATATTTATTTCGAGAAGTTACAAACGGAATGACAAAAGTTTGTATATCCGCCACAAAAGTTAGTTTAATGCCGTGGATTTCAATTGTCGTATGCATCAAATAATCCATTGGATTTTTTTAAACATAAACATACTTTAAAACTGGTTTATGGAAAAATACGAATTACAGGCAGTGTCACTTAACTAATTATACCCTCCACCTTGGAAAGGAGGGTATATTAACTTTGTCATTCCGTTATGATTTTTGCCACATTTTTCCAAGGATTTGTCTAAAAATTGGTATTTGTTGGTCATAATGGGTCCTAGTTCGTGTGGCGAAATATTGTATGTATGGGTCCACGTTTTGATATATCCCCCATAAAACGGTATCTCCCGGTTTTTGGTATTTTGTTAATTTTTACCACATTTTTCCAAGGATTTGTCTAAAAATTGGTATTTGTTGGTCATAATGGGTTCTAGCTCCGTTGGCGCAACATTGTATGTATAGGTTCACGTTTTTGTATAGCCTCATATAGTGGTACCTTTCGATATTCAATATTTTGATGATTTTTGCCACATTTTCCCACGAATATGTCTAAAAATTGGTATTTGTGAGTCATAATGGGTTCTAATGTTTCCTTTACCCTAAGGTGGAGGATATTTAAATTTCGGTCCGGCCGAATTTAATATTTTTTAACTTGTTTTTATAATCGTCTTATATTACAGCTCATAGCAAACAAATTAAATGGGAATGGAAGTGATGGTAAAAATGCAGACGGATCCAAAAATATTTTCATAGATCAAGCAATTGAACTTTTGAGAAAAAACTTATTTACACAGCAGCATGTGGAGGACGAGTCGAATACTATTGTTCTGGGGGTAAAATTTGCAATATGAGTGATATTCCATTTTTTAATAACTTTTCTAATTATATTTTTAATTTTAGGCATTCGAGACGACAGCGAATACAATTGGCTATGTTCTCATTTTGCTTGCAATGTTCCCCGAATACCAGCAAAAAGCCTACGAAGAGCTCGTGTCCATTTTTCCCGAGGGCGGTGATTTCGATGTGACCTATGCCAATATTCAAGATATGATCTATATGGATATGGTTCTCAATGAATCTATGCGCATTATGACGCCGGTACCGTTCGTGGGACGTGAGAATGTGAAAGATATTCAGCTCTCGAATGGCATGGTTATACCGGCCGGAGTACAATTTGTCATTAACATATTTACCATGCACAGACGCAAGGATATATGGGGTGCCGCAGCCGATGATTTTAACCCGGATAATTTTTTGCCTAGTAACATGGAAGGCAAACATCCGTATGCATTTATTCCCTTCACAAAGGGAATACGGAATTGCATAGGTATGACAACAGCATTTGTTTAAAACTTAATAATAATGTATGTTTTGTATTTCAAAGGATGGAAATATGGCCTGATGTCAGCAAAGGTGGCCTTGGCAAAGTTGCTAAGGAATTTTCAATTTTCCACTGATTTCCAATACAATGATTTGGAATTTTATGATTCGATTGTTCTCAAACTGAAGCAGATGCCTGTGCTGAGGATTACAAGGAGATAATTAATTATTATTATTTTGTATTAAAAAATTTATATATATTATAAAATTTAAATATTGTAATTTATATATAATTATTAAGTGGAAATTAGTGTATTTTATAATTGAAAAACTACCGGATTAGGCCAAATTTGTAAACGATAAGGAGATTATAACTTGCTAATTTGTTAATAAAATAAAGGAGTGCAAATGTAAAATAACAATTAAAAAGCATTAAGTTCGTCCGAACCGAACATTTAATAGCCTCCAGCATAAGGTAAAGAAACCTTTAAAACATAAGCATATTATATTCGAGCTAGTTGCATTTTGCAAGTGAAATCGGCTGACGTATCAGTACCATAAAGTGGATGGCACTGATAAATTGAGGCTATAGGACAACGTTTGAAAATGTGTCATAAATATATATGGAGGCATCGTATATCGCTTATTTACGAACTAGACCTGCCTACTGACCAAATACACATATGTGCAAACTTTTATCTCAATTCGTTCAAAAGATAGCGTGATAACCACAGACTGACAGAAACATTGACATGTTTATACCGACTACACATTTTACGCTGATCAAGAATATATTTACTTTGTGGGGTCTGGCATGAGTATTTGGAGGTGTTTAAAATGGGTGAATAACCTAATGTACCCACCATGTGTGGCGGGGTGTATTTTACCCTCCGCCATGGTATAACAAGTTTGTCATTCCGTTTTTATGCCCTACACCAAATAGTGGTCAGGGTATTATGTCTTTGTGCATTTGTAACATGGAGAAGGAAGAGAGATAGACCCATAGTTACTTTTGAGGATCTTTCTAAGTCGATTTATGCATGTCAGTTCGTCTGACCATTTATTGTTGTGAACGAAATGCAGGTCGCATTTATTATCCAAATGAGATGAAATTTGCCAAACAATATTTGTTTGGCCCAAGGACGAACCGTATTGCAATTGGTGAGTATAGCTTCCATACATATCTTCAACTGATTTTGGGATAAATTGTGCACTAAATCATATTGGGTACCAGATATCAAATACAGCCCAGAAACAACTCTGCCAAATTTTATCAAGATCGGTTCAGATTTGGATATAGCACCCATATATATCTTCGACCGATTTCACGTTTAGTGTGTACCAGATGGTTAATATCAGTCCAAATGGAGTGACATTTTGGCACTTTCACCGTAATATGCAACCTAAAACAATGATATTTGGTACCAGATATATCATAGAGTTCATTAGTACCTTTGCCAAATTTTATCGAGTTCAGTTCAGATTGGGATATGGCTTCCATTTCACGGTTGTTAAGCCCCAGATGGTTAATAACAGTACAAATTCGATATTTGGAATTGGATATTTTCAACCGAATTTCTCTGAACCGCATGGAAACTCTGTTTCCATATTTATATTTCTTTGATATGTTTCTTAATTTAATCCATCTGGAAGTCATATCATGCAAACTACAGCCATATTATTTGGTAGGATAGTCACAAATGCCTCTGTAAAATTTGATGGAAATTCATCCGTAGTTGGAAATACCTCCCATATATTGGTTCCCCTTGATTCCAAATTATTGCTGCTCTAAAGCCATAATATTAATTCAAAAAAGGTTCAGGAGTGTAGGATAATAAATAGTCGGCCCCCAGACTTTTGACTTTTCCTTATTCGTTAACATTTTGAAATGTTCTTTTTGACCCCACTTATGTTCTTGATTAAATTCTATGTCGATTTAGCGAAGTCCTTCCGGCTACCTATCTGTCCGTCTGTGCAAATCACTCCAGTTTCGAACAAAATAAAGGTAGGTTGATAAAATTATACTGGGATGTTTTGGTAAAACCCCCATATAACTCTACCTCCAGATATTCAGATATCTCATTTAATAGTGCCTTGCAATATTAGGTATTTTTAAGATTTAATCTACGTTTTTATCTGAAATATCTCAAATTTGGGGTTCGTAATAGGTACCACTTTCTCTGGCAGATAATTGTTTATAGAGGTTCACGATTTCGAATAGGCCTCTAGATATTCCGCATATTTGAAATCAGTAATGGGTACTACCTCGACCTCTACTACTATGATAGAAAAATACCTATACAAATTCACGTCTTCGTATAGGCCCTATATTATGTTATCTCCCAATATTCAGTATTTTGAAGATTCTAGCTAAATTTCTCAATAGAATTATCTTAAACGTTGTGTTTAGAGTTCGTAATATGCACTATTTATTTTTGCAGATAATTGGCTGCGGAGGTTCATGTCTTCGTATTTACTTCAAATTACCGTCTGCAATATGAGTTTTGGGAAAGGCAATAAGTGAATGTGATTCTCATTAACTTGAGAATGCTCGACACTTATAGAGCTTTTGAAGACTGTCATACAATTCAATGTCATACATATTCAAGCTCACACATACATACACGAAGGGGTTCATCGGATGAACCACAAGAACGATTGTGAGTTAGGGGGCCTTTCAGGCAGTAACATTTTGAAATTTATTAATATTATATTTGTGACCACAAAATATTTTATATTTTTTTGGCAGTATTTCTTGCATGACTTTAATTTCTTTTCCAGATACAAGTGGATGGAAATTTGAAAAAACCAAAATTGACAACCTGCAAACTCGCCATTTTAAATTTTATAAATTTGGATGATACACATGATTTGTATTTGTTTTGAGAAAGCACGATCAGAAGCGAATGTTTTGTTTGCTATATACTTTTATTTGTTACCAATACTATATTTTTGGAATCGAATTAATTACCTCTGTAATAAATGTGCATATAATTTATTATTTGTGTGACCACAGCCGAAGGCAGCAGACTGACTTCTCTCGCAAATTAAAAACAAATTTTATTTCAGTTCATTTTCAAATTTCGAGCCGAACAAATCAAGTGTCTCAATGGGCCATACTCAAACACCTCCAATATGTCTCCAAACATAAGAACCAGACTATCCAACATCTACAACAGTACCTCCAACTACATCAAGAGCAACATGGACTATTTGGTGGAGATCTCAATAGTGGTCCTATTTTTTGGAGCTTTGCTAAATAAATTCTTAATTGTCTATTAAGCATGCATTGTATATTTTTTAAAGGGATTTGATTTTCGCGTTTTGGATCGAAGTGCGACGATCTAAGCGAACCAATAAACAAGGTACACGTAATCGCTCAGCAATGCTTACTGCATAAATTCCATTTGTTGTTGTTTTGTTTTTACTTTTTTTATTTTGTTTTGTTTATTTGTAAAAATTTATTTAATTTAGATTCGACTGGCAAATGCGTACTCAGGTGTAGGTATAGCTAATTCGGAACTATATTCTTAACTATTTGGACTACAACTAGATCTTAATTTAAGCCCTTCTCCATCAAGTGGATGTAGAAAGCGGGATTTTGGATTTCATTCAAGTCCTTGAAATCACCGTAGATTTGGTGTTCAGCGCCGGCACCAAAGATTTCTCTCAGGATTTTGGTGAACTGGCTCAGAGTGTGTGGATAGTAGGAGAGGCGGAATTCACTGGTCAAGTTGTTGGCTTCGATCAGGTAGTCCATGGCAACCATAGCAGGCTTGCCACAGTAAAACAATACGGAAGTCTTAATGTCGGCGGTATGGCTTGACTGTAAGAGAAGAATAATAACAAAAATTAAAAATGAAAACCATATACATACGATGAAAGGTAAGGAGGGGTAAGCTTCAATGCATTTTAAATAAAGTAAAAGCTCGTGAATTGTGGGGATAATAATACGAAAAGTGACGTTTTTATACCCTCCACCATTGTATGGAGGGTATATTAAGTTTGTCATGTCAAAATACTCATGTAAGACCCAACAAAGTATATATATTCTTGATCAGCGTAAAATTCTTTAGAGATGTCCGACTGTCTGTCTTCCTTTCCGTCTGTTGTAATCACGCCATCTTGCGAACGAATCGAGATAGAAGGCTAAAGTTTTGCAGACATGTTTATTTTGCCAGTAGGCAGGTTAAGTTCGTAAATGTAGGTCCACGTTTTCATAAAGCTCCCATATAACAGTACCTCCCGATATTCAGTATTTTGATGATTTTAGTGACGTTACTCACCGGAATTGTTTCAAATTTTGTATTTGAAGTTCCAAAGGTATACTATAGCCTAAGACAGAAAATTTTCTGTGCAGGTTCACGTCTTCGTATAGCCCCCATAGAATGGTATCACCCCATATTCGGTATTTTGGTGATTTTAGCTACATTATTTACCTATTTTTTTAGGTTTCGCATTTGAATGTCGCAATTGCTTATGATAAAAGTTGCCTATGCATGTCCATTTCGTCGTATGACCTAACGGCTACGTTCGGTATTTTTAAGATTCTAACAGAATTTTCAACGGATTTTTTTTTGAAAAATGTCAAATTCGTTCCAAATGGTAGAGGGTATTTAAAGTTCGTTCCGGCCGAACTTTCAGCTTTTTTACTTGTTTTAATTACAACAAAAATGTATAAAACAATTTATTTGCATGACTTCAAACAACAGGTAAAAATCTCAACACTCTTCAACAAGAAGTAACAACAAAATATTTATAAATTAAAGTATTTGGATTAAACTGCAAATGCGATTGAGAGAGTTTTCAAAACATCATAAAGTGGGTGGAACCATTTTGGAATATTTTCAACTAATAAATACCAACCAATACACAATATAAACTAAAGTACCAGACATATATACAGCAGGACATGTTAAATCGATTTAGAATTTTAAACATACCATGAAAATATATACTTCATGGGTTGTCGGAGGAATATTTAAAGTTGTTACAAATGAAATGGCAAAATTTATTAAACCCCACCTCTCTAAAAAAAAATACAACAAGTGTGAACCAATGAACTAAATTGCGTGATTTAGGTCTCTAAAAGAACTAGTAATAATTTTGATTTGATTTTGTTTATCCGAATTCTTTTGTTCACAAACTATTAACAATATATTGCTAATAGATTGTGTTAAATAAAGTGGATTTTTGACATTGAGTATTTACAATTTTAATAACATACTTTTAGGTGCTCCCTACAATTTTTAAAAGAAACACATAGGTGGTCCATGGTCCCATAAAACGGAATCACTAGAAACTTTATATTAAAATATACATTTTCTTGATCGGCTTACAATTCTATGTCGATGTTCGTCTGTCTGTCTTTACTTATTATATTTGGTATTTTTTGACAATTTTAGCGACATTATTCATCGGAATTGTTTCAAATTTGGTCCACGTTTTTATATGGGCCCCAATATTACGATAATTCCCTTTACTCGGTATATGGGGCAAAGGGAAAATTGACAAAGTCCTTCCAAATGGTGGAAATTATATCTTCTAAAAAACGGTTAATAAAGGTCGACGATATTCGGTATTTTTACTATCTCAGATACATTTTCTAACGGCATTTTTGAAAATACCAAACTTATATTTTGAAACGGATTTTAAGTCCTATGGCAGTATTGGTCGACGTTTTCCTTTGTGTATACTATGATAATCTTTATTATATTTTTCAAGGATGTGTTTAAAATTTGGTACTTGATATTCGCAACAGATACCAATCACTGTAGCAAACATTTGATCTCGAAATTTATGAACATACCCTCAAATGTGTTACTTTTCAATTGGTTCACCATGTAAAAACTTCGGTCTTGTTGAGGCTTACTGCTTGTTTACAATAAAATATTTCACCATTTAACTAAGAAGTTATGCCTGCAGATTTTAATATTCATCCTAGAAATATTGATAATTTTAATTTGGATTTGAGATTTAAAACTATAATAAGATTGTAAGCTCTATATTAGGTCTTGTTCGGAAATTGCTTAGGCCGATTGATTATGAGTGCTTGCGAACATTTCATATTAATGGAAGTTTTCGATGAATTACATAGAACAGACTGTTTTAAGCCGTTCCTCATTGCAATGAACTAGTTTCAGAACATACATCTCTTGTTCCATCAGAACATATTTTCATACGATTTGCATCATGAGCTGATAATGGAGTGTCGGAAAAGCATAAATTGAATCTCAGTACGCTATCTGTACTGAAATATCAATAAATACACGGTTTTATGTGTTTTTGACCTCAATATTAAATTAATTAGACACCCTCGGAGATAGATCGCTGCGGATGTTGAATTCTTCTAATTGTTTTCAAAAAACACGAAGAGATAACGATGACATAATTGGTTGAGGTTCAGTTGAAGATAAGATTGCGAATTATTTGAATTCGCTAATTTGATTTTCGAAGGAAGTCGTTAAATATCAATTAATTGAGACACTAGTCAGCATTGTCGGATGATGAGCCCATATGTATTCATGTATGTATATAAACATAATAATCGGTCCTTAAATACCCTAACAGTAAAAAATAAATGTATATTAGTTGGGGAGCTAACATGGCTTAATAATTACTCGTTTATTTAAAATAATGAGTGATAAACACGAATAATAAAACGAAGAACCTTTCATTACTAGGTAAAAAAGAGGTCAGTGAGGTAACAGGCATCCTTACGGGGCACCTGGGCCTACAAGCTCATCTGCACAAGATAGGATGTACAGATAACAGCATATGCAGGGCATGTGGGGAAGATGACGAAATATTGGAACATTTTCTCTGCCAATGTCCAGCGTTTGCAAATATCTTAGGGAACGACTCCATACCAGACCTTAATCAGACCATGGTAAATGATATAAGAAAGTTAAGAAATTTCATAAAGGCAACTGAATTTCAAATATAGCAGACTGTAAACTGCCCGTCTTCTTCAAAAAACCCATAGTCTAAAGCGCACAACAGGTCTATACTGGCTTAAGTGTATGCCCAACAGGGCATGCGGCGAATTGCTTCGCTCCTCTTTTCAACCTAACCTAACCTAATGAGCATTTTTGATGTATGTGTGTGACAGGACTACATCATCCCAACACCTTCAAAGAATGGCTAATCATTTCTAAGAGAGTGTTTAGACTACCAAATCCAATGGAAAGTATTTGAAATATAAAATATGGTATTGACATTTGAGATCGAGGAGACTTCGATCTTTATTAATGTTTGTTTGAATTTTAACGTCAAAGGAAAGGCAATAATGCGTCAGCGGTTTGTTTCCAAAGATATTTCGCAAACTTATTAAATTTGCTAAAATATACACAAAAATATCTGACATGAAAAATATGACGTCACTGACGCTACTTGGACACTCACATTTCCTTATAAATAGTTTTTAAATATATTAAATTGTATAACTTACATTGTAGTACAAGCTCTTGGCAGGTGTGGCTCCAGTCTCCAAAATGTTATCGTAATTACGATGATCAATAATTAAAACACCACCGGGTTTCAGGCATTTTTCGAAATTCTTAATGGCCTTCTTGTGTTCCAATTGTTCCGGTGAGGAATCCATCAAATGGGCAAATGAGTTACCCAAACAGAGGACAGCATCGAAACCATCCTTGACAATATCCTTGATGTCATCGTACAAACTCAACCAGTTGGCTTCTTCAATGACTAAAATTGCAAAAGAATTGTAGACATAAAAAATTCGTGATCTTCAAACGGAATTAATGCCAGCCACTTACTCCAGTTGTCGAAAGCGGCCTCCTTGCGGCGGTTCCAGCGTTCCTTCAAGGCATATTTCAACATTTTGTCGGAGGCATCGACAGAGACAACCTCAAAACCTTCTTCCAACAGCATAATGGAGTCAACACTGAAAGAAATTATAGATTAATACTGATCCTTTGATTCGGAAATAAGGTAACGAAGGAAATATAAATCAAATTTTTTTAAAGTTGTACGATATCGACTATGACTTTGTTAACTTGAAGATAATACATATTGCAGTAATACGGCCGTACACAACATTTTAGCAAAGTGGGGGAGGTGAGCAGTTTTATTTGGTACGTCGGATAATAAATAGGCCTGCGATTGTCTTATTAAATGTTTATACTGTTTTATCTGCTGTCATCTAATCGACTTTTCGAATATTATCTACCACTAGACAAATACGGTATGATATGTCAACAAATCGGACAGGATCCACAAGAGAAATGGTTTGACAGAAGGTTCTCCGTAAAAAACACGTGCAAAAAAGCAGTTGCTGTTCTGTTACTGTACAACTAACTTAGGATGGATCTATATAAAGTATAGAGAGAAGGTCAAACTTAGATATATATAAGGAAAAGTTTAATGTTTTTTTGTCACCATGTCAGTTTTCCGATAAACAAAATTTTGTTATAATTTTTAATGTTCATTTTAAGAAAGTGTTTTGTATTTATCTTCGGCATACCATTTGGAAACATTATAATCGATATATTGAAAATTTCGTTTTTAATATATAAAAATTAACTTTTCTTTGACATGGCATTACTACTTAAACAAATCTTTATATTAGGTACCAACTCTCAGAAATTAATTGTATGACATTGTTTTTGTTCTTAGAAGAATTTAAAATCTTTAAAAAAAAAAAATAGAATAAAATAAATACGTATTCTGTAAAAATCTAAAAAATACCGTATATAGGGAGTTACCCTTATTTTGGGGAACTCCCTATATACGGTATGTTTTCTGTCATAGGGTGTAGTACCCATTATGAAGTGCAAATACGAAATTTTAACAATTCTAGTGAATAATGTAGCTAAAATAATCAAAAAACGGAATATAGGGAGGTACCAACATTTAGGGGCTATTCGAAGACCTGCTTAGACAATTTTCTGTCAAAGGCTGTAGTACCTATTAGAAAATTCAAAATCGAAATATGCAACAATTCTGGTAAATATTGTCGCTAAAATAATCAAAATATCGAATATAGGGAGGTACCGATATTTAGGGGCAATACGAAGACCTGGACCTGCATAGCCAATTTTCTGTCACAGACTGTCGTACCCATTATGAACTATCATAACGAAATTTGAAACAATTCCGGTGAACAATGTCATCAAAAACATCAAAATACCGAATATGGGGAGGTACAGCGTACAAAAGCATTTTGGTGAGATTTTTCCCGAAAAAAGTTATTCGTGATGGCATTCAAGCATTTCTTTATATTTGGCTGGAAATCCAAAAGTGGCTATCGTTAGAGCACTCCAGAGCACTCAGCTGAAAATTTGCACCTTCGGTTGGCAACCAGAACTCAAGCGCCGGTCATGGTGATGGTGTGGGCCACCATAACAGCCGTTGGTCGCTCTCCGCTCGTATTAATCGACCGTGGCATCAGAATAAATGTCAAATATTATCGCGAAAATATTCTGGAAGGTGTTTTAAATCCGTTGGACTGTTGTGTCTGGAGTATTTTGGAAAGCAAGGTTGGCACTAAAAAATACCAAAGTGTCGATCACCTCAAGCAAGCGCTTCGCCGGGAATGAGCCAAAATACCGCAGAGCAACATTTGGTCAGCGTGTGACGCTTTGATTGTCCGTTTGAAGGCCATAATTAGTGCCATCGGTGAACAATTCCAACAAATCTAAATTTATTCTAAAATTTGATGCTATTTCCGACGTTTTTGGCTTTCATTCAATAAAATTTAAAAATAATGTAAAAATTATGGCGTTTGACTTTTTTACAGTTTTTTTATCTCACCCTGTACTTAAACAAATCTTTATATTTGCTACCAACTCTCACAATTTAATTCTATGATATTCTTTTTGTTGTTTTAAGAGAGTAAAAGCAAGTAGTTAGGAGAGTGAAGTTCGCCAATAAATCCATAAAACCTGTTATCTTCTTTTCGGCGTTTGTGGGTTGTAATTTTCAAAAACTTGTTCTCTGGGTCCATATTTTGGACTTGGTGCTGGTAAACAACAACATCCCATTTAAAATGAGTAAACCATACAAAACATTGTTGGATATTAAATACAATTCGCAGTTAAATACAATTGACTTCCAGAGATTAAATTCTATAGAATATTAAAAATAATTGTTCAAATAATTTTCCTAATGAAACATTAAAGTTTTTATTTTTAATGGCCGGTAAATCAAAAAGCTCCTAGGATAATTTAAACGATTGGCTCTTATGAGATTCATTTTTGCAAGTGGTAGTTAAATACAATCGAAATATATTCCTAACTGCTTCAATTAATTTGAAGAAGCGTATTATTATTTGCGCGTTATTTGCTATTAACTTTCCCCTCTTGTCCACTTACCCTGTGCCGCAGGCTACATCCAAAATACGCTTGCAATTCTTCGATTTCAACAGATTGATGAGGAAATTTTTGTAGTTTTCTGTGCGGGAATTTTTGTCACCAATGAAAATTTCCCAAACCTTGGCAGCCTTTCCATCGGCATACTGATCACGGACACCTTCGGCAGAAATACCCTCGGAACGGGCAACGAAAACACTATCAGCTGAAGTGGCAGACATAATTGAGAGCGATTTGTGTATGTGAACTTGATCGAACGACGTGAAAGACCCAACTAAGTTTTTACTCCGCCACGACTTTTAAAAACAACTCAACGCAAATACGTCCAAGTACCAGCCAGCGGCGAATTCGGCAGAGAAAAGAAAGCAACACCCAAGTCAGCGTTACCTATTGATCCAGCAACAACAATTAGTCTAGCTATGAAAACGTAAGCAACACCGTAAACACACAAAACTCATACTCGCAAAGCTCAGAGATAACACCCAAAATTTCTAATCAGTTTGTTATTGTTGTTATTTTTGGCGTGGTGTGTTCTTCTTCTCCTTTGCCAAAAAAGAAAAAGAAATGATTCAACCCACAACGAAATAAAAACACCTTTCACAAATCTCAAATCGATGTAGAGTTGATTAAAAGTTGATTTGTATGCCGAATGTAGGGGTGCTATCGCGCAATGTCTGGCTCATAACTGGTATAAACTCACGGAAGGGCCTGTTCGCTTGTTGTTTTTACTTTTTTTTACTTTTCAATTTCTAATCTCTCTCTTATCAATCCAGAAGCGCAATGACAGTGTAGTATTTATTCTGTGATTGTTGTTTACCACAGCTCGGATGGATGACACTGACCTTAGAATGATTAGAACTATTTTTATTATGGCGAAAATTATCAATTACTCGTGAAATGGTCCCGAAAACATAAACGCATCATGTAAATAGAGGAATGATGCTGGCAGAGTGGCCAATAATCGAAGCTATGAAGAAGTCTAACGGTCGCACGGGAAACATTTCGCTTACAGATAGTTTGACCCTTTAGGCTTTGCTGATAATGACTGTGCCATGTTTTGGGTGTAGCAATTTTCTTTGTTTACTTTTCCTGGACTCAAAACAGATACAAGTCTGGGAGAACAAATACAAATTTACTTTTGGAAATATTGAAATTATTTAAAAATATTTCACTATTGTTAAGCCATGACTCGAAGCAACGCAATAATTTGCAAGTAACTTAAAGCGTAGTTCATCTCTCAAAAGAGTATTTGTTGTCAAAAATGCGTAAAAAAGAATCGTTTTAAATCTTTCTCTAGACCATTTTATGATCAAGAAGTTAAAAAAATCGTCTGTTTGGGCGTAATTAGGTTACATTTTACATATTAAAATCATGAGACACCATCAAAAGTATTTCCGAATAAAAGTGTGGCGGACATTTTCAAAATGTCTCAAAACTGATATTGCTATGTGGTACGAATGTGTTAAATATACATTAAAAGGTGAAATGTGGAGATTCCCTTTGAAATATCTAAAATCAGGTGGTACTGTTATATGATGGTAGCCCGTTGATTTGGGTAGGTAACTTGGCTTTGAAGCTTTGAAGTAGTTTTAAATGTTGATATCTAAAGTGTTCCTATCAATTTAAATTCCCAGTTCTTAAATGGTAGGGAACCTACTCCAAACATAATTGAACCTTTTTACGTAAGGAATTACTTCTTTAGCCAACGAGTTTCGAATTCGTTCAATATTAATATATTAATACACATAATTAGCGGAGAGTTTATGAACGTTTTATATTTACATTTGTGTAAGATAGAATTGAAAATAATAACAAATATTGGGCGAGTTTATACGTCAGAAATTGTGATCTCATATGTTATATGTACAATGTGCTAAAATATTTCTAATGTTATTATTATTTCGACGTGGCAATTGCTCAATATCTACGACAATTCTAAAAAATAGCCTACATTTCTTTCAGGAGCGCCTGAAATCTTCAGCGGTTTTTGGCTGACATTTTTATGCCCTCCACCGTACTATGGAGGGTATATTAACTTTGTCACTCCGTTTATAACTCCTCGAAATACTCATGTCAGACCCAACAAAGTATATATATTCTTGGTCTGTGTAAAAATCTAAGTCGATTGAGCTATGTTCGTCTGTAATCACGCTGTCTTTAGAACAAATTGAGAGGGCTAAAATTTTGCACACATTTGTATTTTGCCAGTAGGCAGGTTAAGTTCGTAAGTGGGCCCTCTAGGTCCACGTTTTCATATAGTCCCATAAAACAGTATTTCCCCATATTCGGTATTCTGATGATTTTATCGATATTTTTACCGGAATTATTTCAAATTTCGAATTTTAAGTTCGTAATAGGTACTGCAGCCTATGACAAAAAAAATCGTAGCATATACCTCCCGATATTCGGTATATTAATAAGTTTAGCATTATTATTAGGCAGGTCCTTGTATCCTCCCTTTATTCCGCATATTGATGGTATTCTAGGCTTTATTATTTGTTTTTATATCCTCCACCATACATAGTATGGAGGGTATATTATGTTCATCATTCCGTTTGTAACTCATCGAAATAATAATTTTAGACCCAACAAAGTATATATATTCTTGATCAGCGTAAAATTCTAAAATGTAGCCCTATCCGTCCGTCCGTCTGTTGTAATCACGCTAGAGTCGAAACAAATTTAGATAGGAAGCTAAAATTTAGCACAGATCAGTCTTTTGTGTGCAGGCAGTTCAAGTTCGAAGATGGGCTATATCGGTTCACGATATCGAATGGCTCCCTATTTCGGTACCCCCGATATTCGGTGTTTTGGTGATTTTGGGAACATTTTTCATGGAATTGTCTGAAATTGTAAACAAGAAGTTCCTTGTGGGTACTTTACTCTGTATAGGTCCACGTTATCGTATATCCCCCATATAACGATAGTTCCCAATTAATTGTTCACCGGAATTTCGTAATTGATTCTTCTACAGCCTACTGGCTGTAGTCTATGATAGAAAATTACTTATCCAGCACCACGTCTTCGTATAGCCCCCATGTTAAGGTTTGTATTAGAGGAGTATTTTTCGACGATTTTTTTTTTTTAAATTTTGAAGTGCCTTCCGAATGAAGGTGGGTATAAAAAGTTCAGCCCCGCAGAACTTTTTAAAATTTATATGTTAGTTCTAACGCGCAATGAAACCATCATACGCTGCCCGAATGTTGCTCTGCGGTATTTTGGCCCATTCCCGGCGAAGCGCTTGCTTGAGGTGATCGACACTTTGGTATTTTTTAGTGCCAACCTTGCTTTCTAAAATACTCCAGATACAATAGTCCAACGAATTGGTATCCGGAGATTTTGGTGGCCATTGTGCGCTTGAAATGAAGCGAGGAACCTAATTTTGCAACCATTCATGGGTGGCGCGTGCTGAGTGGTCTGCGGCTAAAATGGTTGCGTGCCCTGCATATATCCACGTTTTTGTGTAGCTCCCATATAACGGTATCTCCCGATATTCGGTATTTGTCTAAAAATTGTTGTTAAAAATTGTAATGGGTTCTAGCTCCGGTGGCGAAACATAGTATATATAAGTCCACGTATTGGTATAGCCCCCACATAACGGTCCCTCCCGATATTCTGTATTTTGATGATTTTGACACATTTTCCCACGGATTTGTCCAGAAATTGGTATTTGTAGTTCGTAATGGGTTCTAGCTCCGGTGGCAGAACATTGAATATTTAGCTCCACGGGAATTAATATTGATTCAATCGACAATTCTTCTTTAATTTCTTTAATCTCTCTCTTTTATGTGGTTATAAAATAAATACTGACCAGTTTAAGATATTGTTAAAACTGTATCCTTAATATTTCATGAATGCTTTTTTACACAAATCACTTGTTGATAGTATTGGTTACATTCAATAGGAAAGTTTTTGGAAGAGGCAACTGGAACTTGTCTAGATACATGCAAATTTGACCATACAACAATGTGACCGACTACAAAAATGTACCTAGCTAGATCGCCACAGCACATCGAGACATGGTGTCGAGTATCAAAATTCAGTCACTTCGTTGACTCACGAAATGCTATATTTTGATCCGTGTGGATCAATGTATTTTCTTTGGACAATAATCGCTATTACCCTGTGAACCTAGAATATATGATTGCAAAATGAAAGCCAATTGCTCATAACGAACATTAGGCATTTAATTCAAAACAGATTAAGCCCAGAAAACTTCATGACACCACGAAAATTTGAGGTGAAAAATGTTTCGTCTCGTGCTTTATTCGTATGAAAAAAGTGAATGTTGGTCCAAAATATTATTGCTATTCAAACCGAAGAAGGAAGAATATGTTTTTGATTTAAATTAAATAAATTGAATGTCTTCTGATTCATGAAACATACATAAAACTAATTAATGCCCAAACTAATATTTTTGTCCAAAAATTGCTTCTCTAAGTCTTCTATCTATACAGCTTATTTTGGAATTGTTTTGTATATAGACAATATAAAAATATTGTACCTATGTCTGGGTGTTTTCATTTAGGTATACAATAAGAAAATGATAATACAACTTTGGTCTATCTCTTGTGTTTGGTTTTCAGAAAAGCTATTAAAAGTCTTTCATATTCTTACTCTTGATAAGAGTTTCATCCATTCTAAGTTTAAATTAAAGGTCAAAGCGTGCAAATCGTGCTTATTCCCATGCCTCCTGCTTAGCTTTTAAAAACTGATAAATTACTGACGCAATTTTATAAAGAATCTGTTAAAGAGGTGCCAGATTTTCAGGTCTTAAATATGAAATATATAGAAGCCCACTGTTCAAATTCAAAATTTCCATCAGAATAGACAGTTGATAAACAAAATCAGTAAAAAATGCCAAAGTCGGGTGGGTTTAGAGCAGTTATAATTTGGAATTAATATAGTGGATTTATATCCAAATCTCAATCGATTTGACTTCAACTTGACGTCGTATGATATAATTTAACCAAATGTATTTGCTCCCAGGATTATTTCGGTTGAATGTGCAAAAATCCTTCTAATTTAGGCTGGTATTGCATATCGAGTGCGCAGTAAACGTGAAATCGCCTGAAGATATATATGGAAGCTATATCCAAACCAGAACGAATATAAGGGACTTAAACACCAAATGTTATACATTCAAATCGGACGGAGATATATATAGGTGCTATATCTAAATTTAGACGGTTTGTCAACAATTTCAATTGGGTTCATTCTAGGGTACATAAATGCGACCTGTACTTTGCTTACAAAAATAAATGGATAGACGGACGGGCACGAATAAATCGACTCAGAATGTGATTGTAAAAGGTGACCCAACTAGAACGCAAGCGTGAA